AGCAGAAACAAGCGATAGTGTCAGGGTTGAGTGCAGGTTGCCGAAGACGAGGACACGGGAACTGAAGTATAGTTGACTTATTTACAAAGTCAACTTACAGGAACAGACAGAAACAAAAGGTAACTCTCCAGGGGCTCGTTCTTCGTACGTTGCTTAAAACACCCGAGATCAAATGAGACATCTAAGATGATATCATCGTGCTAATCATGATCCGGCTAATTGGGTTCTTCGAACACACCTGTTGTTTATGATTAGTATCGCTGGATTGAGTTATCTGAGATAATTGCGCATTCATGCGCTGGGTTAAAAGGGGATATGTATCGATAGTAGAAACATTGATCAGCAACGCTGCTATTGGCTGCTCAGCGTGTCCAAAGAGCGCGCTCAGTTTTACTCTGCAGCAGAGCAAGAGCTATTGCTTGAAGGATATGCTGAATTTGAAAACTTTCAAATTCAGAACTTTCAAAAACAAGTTTTCACCTAAAATGTGCAAAGCCAGGAGAGAGGGCTGGCAAAAAGTAGCAGATTGAGTTTGTAGTGACCATTTAGATGTTTTTATCACTTATTACAGTATATATTTTTTATTTTAATAATTTCTAAATAATTAATAACTTTGTTCATTGTAATGTCAGTCACCACCCACTACTAGAACATGGGAACAAGTAAAAGTGAAGTACTAGAATATTCTACATAATGGTAATTTGTATTAGCCTATAGGCTACTATAGTCTCTTTTAAAAAGGCACTGTTAATAAATGTTTGCTTGTTTATAAAAGCAACCAAGAAAAAGGCTGAGAAAAAAAGAAAAGAAAAACAAACAGGTGGTGGTCCTGCACCTCCACATTATACCCCGGCAGAAGAGCTGGCCCTTGGGTTAAATGTGAACCGACCCGTCCTGGGTTCAGCTCTTCCTCAGACACACAGCAGGGACCAGTAGCAGCAACTCCTTCATTACTGGTAAATGAACTTTAAATGATCTTATACTGTAAAATATTTTTTGCTGCACTATAGGCCTATAATCCCAATGGCTGGTCCAGTCATATCAACTGTTAAACCCTGATGAATTGCTTACTTGTGAAAGTGTGCATGTGTGAAACTACATGTAGCCTAGTTAATGTAAAAAAATATGTTGCCATGAGTTATTGATCACATTTCCCCCCAGTGTACTTCATTGTAATGAAATTGTGTTTTCCTCTTTTGTGCAGTTTTAAACACCAACACTTTTATCTGTTCCCAAGCAAGTGGCTGAAGCATTTGCAGTAAGTGGACTTTTCCAAACTTTACATCAAAAGGGAAGAAAGTACAAATACTTTTATTAAACATTTAATGAAATGTTTTATATTTTTGCTGATGGTGGAAATGCTGTGTAATATGGCACATGTAATGTCACAGGCCCTGTCAAGTGCAACCCTCAGGCTTTTCAGACACTGAAATCTTCCCTTTAGTTGGCCAAAGTTCATTTCATTGTGTGACCTTGTCCTGGCTAGAGCTGCATTGTAACTGTGTATGTAATACAGTGAGCTTGATATTTATATTTTTCCTTACCATGTTCAAGTAATGGGCATAAATGTGAATCTCTGTGCTTCCACATTTGTGATATGGAACACCATCTAGAGATTTTAGACTGTCAAATGCCTTTTTTAAAAATTTGATACAATATTACTAATCTGGAATATTAAGAATTGTAATAGTAACTTGGCTGCACATTTACATTGTGATCCCCCTTTCTGTTCACAAAATCCCCTTCATAGAGGCCTTGATGGGAACATGTGTGCAGTCTATTGACCAATCACATTAGTGAAGCCTGAGGGACATATCTGTGTCATATTAATCGGCATGTTCACGATTGCATGATCTTCATTAAAAAGTTATAATATACCTGCGTTGGCAAAAAAAAAAAAAAAAAAAAAACCTGCTATAGCCTACAACCTTGGGTCTAAACTGGCTTGGAAATGCCACAAAAAAACACCCTAAAAACTGCTTGAGCGCCAGGGTAAACTTTGTGAATGACACGACAGACAGCACTTATCAAGTTCTCCGCATCTCCAATAGTTTAAAGGAAAGAGCCACTCGCAAATAATATCAGGACAATGCACACAGTTTGTGCTGTTATTAAAGGCCGACTCCGACGAGTCGAACATTTAATGTGTGTTTCCAAAAAATAATTGATGTAAACGACATCCTCACGAGTCATGAGAAAAATTATATCTCTCAAAAAGTACACTATCGCGCTGCGTTAAAAGACTTCCCGTATCACCTCCGCTTATAAAGCCACAATCTAATCCTGTTTACATGAAATAAGCCTGCTCGCGAGCAGGTTCAAGCTAGCGCACCTGTTGCTATGACAGCAAGTCTAGGATGAGCTTCGAAGAACCAAACAATCCAAGATCATGCCAAATCGCCAACAATCAAATCCAGCTAACTGAGTTAGCGACGTACGAAGAACGAGCCCCAGGACTTCAAAACACACACAACCATAGATTGACGACGACCAACAAACACTGAGGGAAAACACAGGGCTTAAATGAACAGGGACTAATGGGATAATTAACAGAACACAGGTGAAGGGAATTACTAATCAGACAGACCGGGAAAACTAACAGGACTGAACCAAAATCACAAAAGACGGGGGAAACAAGATCTCAAAACTGAACTAATAACAGGACTAAACCAAAATCACAAATACAGGGGGAAATCAGATTACAAAACAGAACTTAAACACATTGAAACATGACAGTACCTCCCCCCTCCCCGAAGGCACGTCCTCGCGCCGTATAACATCCAAAGGGGTGGAGGGGGGTGGGAGAGTGGGAGGGTGGGCGCCCTGGAGGCTGACAAGGGCATGGTGGTGCAGGAACGGGAAGCCTCCAGGGCGGAGCTGGTAGCTCAGGGAACCGGGGTGGAACAGGCTGTGGGCGTGGCCATGGAGGAGCAGGCTGCGGGCGTGGCCATGACGGAGCTGTCGGACCCTCGGGCGTCCAGGGCGGAGCTGTCGGACCCTCGGGCGTCCAGGGCGGAGCTGGATGTGGGCGTGGCCACGGCGGAGCTGTCGGACCCTCGGGCGTCCAGGGCGGAGCTGTCGGACCCTCGGGCGTCCAGGGCGGAGCTGTCGGACCCTCGGGCGTCCAGGGCGGAGCTGGATGTGGGCGTGGCCACGGCGGAGCTGTTGGACCCTCGGGCGTCCAGGGCGGAGCTGTCGGACCCTCGGGCGTCCAGGGCGGTGAGGACCCTTCGGGTGGCCATGGCGGTGAGGACCCTTCGGGTGGCCACGGTGTTGAAGACCCTTCAGGTGGCCATGGTGGTGAGGACCCTTCAGGTGGCCATGGTGGAGAGGCGCTACCACTGCCATGGTCCTCTTACAGGGCGTACTGCGCCCCCCAAAAATTTTAATGAGTAACTTGACAGGTTCAGGAACGGGGACAGGAACAGACACCGGCTCAGGAACAGATACCGGCTCGGCGGCGATCGCGACGTGAACCGTCTCTGGATCAGTAGACATGGACGGGACCAGCTGGACGGGCTCTGGCGCAGGATCAGCGGGCTCTGGCGCAGGATCAGCGGGCTCTTGGAATGCAGGACTGGACGGGACCAGCACATCAGGGGACTCGGAACTGGATTCATGGGCCATCGTTGATGTGTGTGTTGCCCACACACACAGAATAGCCGTAGACACTACTATCAGTGCTGTGTCTTCTTGTGTTGACTCCCGTGCGGTGTGCTCAGTCTCTGGCAGGCTGGTGACGGGCTCAGGCTCTGGCGGGTAGGCGATGGGCCCTGATTCTGGACTTGGAACGGGCTGGAGTGGGAGATCTTCCACCATGTATCTGGATCCACATGCCCACAGTGTGTGATCCACGAACTCCAGAAATGACAAGTCAAGATCGTTTGCCAGAATCAGCTGGTCAAGCGGATCCTTTAATCCACCCCAGAAACTTTGCGTTAATTCTTCTTCCTCCAACGACATGTCATCATACAGCTCCAGGTAAAGCCCTGCATACTCCTCAAGAGAGCGTTCATTTTGAAAGAGGATAGGTTTGTTAATGGGGTTCACCTTTTTCTTCTTTCCTCTTTTTCCCTTGTTCATCTTTGGGTTCTTTTTTTTTTATTTTTTTTTTATGGTTGGTCGTTCTGTCAGGGTTGAGTGCAGGTTGCCGAAGACGAGGACACGGGAACTGAAGTATAGTTGACTTATTTACAAAGTCAACTTACAGGAACAGACAGAAACAAAGGAAACTCTCCAGGACTTCAAAACACACACAACCATAGATTGACGACGACCAACAAACACTGAGGGAAAACACAGGGCTTAAATGAACAGGGACTAATGGGATAATTAACAGAACACAGGTGAAGGGAATTACTAATCAGACAGAGCGGGAAAACTAACAGGACTGAACCAAAATCACAAAAGACGGGGGAAACAAGATCTCAAAACTGAACTAATAACAGGACTAAACCAAAATCACAAATACAGGGGGAAATCAGATTACAAAACAGAACTTAAACACATTGAAACATGACAGATAGCATATGTAAGCAGATGAATATGTAAAATAACGCGATCATCAACATTAAATAGCACATAAATCAAAATTGGCTTTAAAAGCAGAGGGTCTGTTCTTTCTTTTAATATATCGCATATTCAGATACTATTCATACAACAAAATATTGTGGGGGCCATGAAACCTTTTTGAAAATTATCAAAAATGCTGGCGGTGACTGGCAACTTTTTTTTAAAACGCTGGAAAGAGGTAAGCAAAGAGGAAACAGACCCAGACACTTCGGGGTCTCGGGTTCACACAGAACGTGTTTTTGCATTCCACAGCATTTTCACAAAGAAAAAACTACGAATAAAATAAATATAGGTGATGTTACATATTATTTGTTAAGTAACTGGTTACTCATTTTAATGTTTCAGTACTTGACTCTAAAATGACTCAAAAGACACCACTAAACCTTGCAATGGTGGTGAAGATGATGGCGAGAAAGTGATTTACTTACAGCTTCTCGAGGGAGTACAAGCCGGTGAAGGAGCCATTTTTCAGCACACGGATACGATTGTTGCTCAGATTTCTGTGAAGAAATGCAAAAGCAGAAATGAAATGAGTCATTGTGATGACAGTCACTAATCACACATTCACAGACAGCGATGTAAAATAGAATCCATCCATGCATCCAATGAAAACAGGCCTCACACACTGTCATACACACCCTTGCCAACACGCATGCAGAACCAAAACACACAAGCGCATGTCCAACACAAACACGCATATAACAGTAAACACCCTGACACAAACGTGCTTATATGGCTAGGAACCTCAGACAAATACGCTCGCCAACTCTCACACATATTCTTCATTTGCTGCCTTCAAACCCTGTGACTGCAGCTTTAGATTCTGGTATATATACACCTAAGAAAGAATGTAGAAGTGCAGAGACTTGCTACTGCCAGTGCATACACAGACACACTGCTGTGAGCACGTAAGAGCTACTGCTGCTGCACAAATAGCACATACTGTATGAAATTTACCGTAGCAGATATATACAGGTGGAGCTGGGGAAGGTGGAGGGTTTTAAAGGAACTCTGAAAGTGCCGCAAACTGCTTAAGCAAACACTGACCAACTATTTATATGTTGAGCAGCAGCTCATTGGCTGCAGATGCAACAGAAACCAATCAGCTTGTGCCATGTAGTTAACTATGTAATTGTCACCAGTTTACGTTTCATGACAGAACTTGGTATATATTTTTTGTAATGTGAATCTGTTTATGTTTTACACTTCAGACAAATACGCTCGACAACTCTCACACATATTCTTCGCTTGCTTCAAACCCCATGACGTCAGCATTAGATTCTGGTATACACACAAAGAAATAGTAAGACTGTAAAAGTAAGCTGTGTTTCATTGTAACACTTTAATTTCCTTCAAACAGAAACAAACATGTAAGAAATAAGGGGAGATATCCTGAAAAACTATTTTTCTTGGTCTTCTTTTCTTTTTTTTATTATTATTGATTTATAGGGGTCATGAATTGAGAAATAAACATTTCCTTGATCTTTTGACATATAAAAGGTCATTGTACTATAAAAATAAGTTTCAGAACTCAAAACTTCCTAGTTCGTCCAAAAGCAGCTTTTATTGAAGCCAAGCCCAGCAAACGACTCGTTTTGTATTTTGTCACATTATTGCGTCATAGTGAGACGAAAGACCGCCTAAGCAGCAGATCAATGCCTACTTCTACATCATTGCCTCTTTAGCCCCGCCCACTGATTCACATATGTCATGTAGTAGTAAATACGGAAGATATCCAAGTACACAGGATTACTAAAGCAACAAAATTATAGAGACGCCTCTGTGGATTACAAGACGTTTTCCAGTGCCAAGTTGAGGGAAAACACAGCCCTTGCATTGCCATCTTTGTGATCCTAGCATTAAGAAAGCGTGGTTGAACTTTATTTTTAAGGAAGTTCTAGTCAAGATCGCATCTGTTCATTTGTTCGGTTCATTTTACTGCGGTTTTTAAACAAGACACAGTTAGACGCAGGCTTTTCAGAGAGACTGAAAATAAATCCAACTGCATTGGATCCGACGGTAATGTCACAACACAAAAGTGTAAAAGTGTTTTTACCATGTGTCACTATTGCTTTGTCTGATACAGATCATTTGTACTGAGTATTTATACTGTAGCGCCGCAGTCAGACTGAATAGTTGTGATAGTTGCAATTCGCTTTTGTTTCGGCATTTATGGGATTTTATCAGATACTGAAGAAAGCACAGAGAACGCTGCTTTTGTTGTTCTGATCTAAGTTATTCGCTGTTATCCTGAATTGAAGATTCAGTGAGCGACATCTGTTTTATCAGCAGTAAGACATTACAACGTTTAATTTGATTTAAATCACAACTTTGACTATCAAAACTGAGTGTTTGAAAGAGTCAAAAACAGGATTTTTCCTGTTTCCTAAACATTATAAGTGGACCTCAGAGAACATTATACATTTTTCATAACCCCTTTAATGGTTTAATGCTTAGATGTTATTGCATATATTTTTGTAATGTAGATCTTTTTATATTTTTGTCTATACTGTAGATTAGTATCAGTATTATTGTTCATTTGGGTGTAGAATTATGTTCCTGTTTATGTTTTTAACTTTTTCTTTCTCTCATTTTGAATTCTAAACTGGCTGCGTACTTGGAAGTGTGGCCTTTGTCATTTTTAGCTGTAAATGCTCTTAATAAACTAAAAAATTAGCTGATACTTTTGCGTGTTTTGCAAGCCAGAGGAAGGTTGACCGACCGAATCGTTGCGAAATCCCCTCATTCTCGAAAACCAATCGACAGAGTAAAAGAAAATACAAGCCAGACTACATTAGTTAGGCTATGTAGATCCATACATATACCAAATCATAACCCATTTTGTCAGGACTATAGAAACTTAAAAAAAACAGCATTTATTTGAAATAGATATATTGTGTAACATTATAAATGTCTTTACTGTCACTTTTGATCAATTTAATGCATCCTTGCTGAATAAAAGTTTTCATTTCTTTAACAAAAAATCGGACTGACCCAAAACCCTTAAGTCAGATTGTGTTTTTAAGAGAGTTTATTTCAGAGGTGCACAAAGAAAAAGTGCCCATAGTTGAAGAAACACTAATATAATAATATGTAATATGTACTCTGTATATAAAGACAGTGTTTCACCAACAGAGAGGAAGAGGGAGAGCGTCTGGGAAAGGATGCTGCCCAAACACGATTTAAGTGACCCGACAGCTATGAAGACAACGGCATCAACTTCAGCCATCACACCGGGCTGTTTCCAATTAATCTTCACGGCTTAATGGAGGGATGGAAAGGGCGAGGGAATGAGGAAGAGGAGGGGGAGGAAGCCATAATCTTGATAATCACAGTGGATACATTTTTACATCAAAAGGAAGTCGAGGTCCACATCAAACGCGCGCCCGGCTCTTTTCCATGACAATTATCCCTTTCGCCATTGGCTAATGGGCCTGAGACCAGAGAGAATCTTATCAGAAGGAAGAGAGGAAAGAGAAGAGGAGGAGAGAGAGAGACGTTTGGATGCTGGTATGGATAAAGCTCACGAGTAAAACCGGTTTGGATTAGGTTTGTGGCTGACATGGACAAACACAAACAAACAAATGCAAGTAAACTGATCCCGCCATTGTGCGTGTTATATGTCAGATCTATTTCTGTCTGTTATTAAATCATATACGGAAGCAATACATCAAAGAGACCATAAATTACAGTTATTTTCCCACAGTTTACGGGTCATTTTAGGCATGACAAAGTTTTTATACAGCAGCCACTGCAACATAAAAACAGTAACGTTCAATAATTGATCAGTTGACAAATAACATGCAAATTCACTTTTTCAAGATCAAGTTGGGTCCAAAAGTCTAAGGCGACTTTGTAAAACCGGGATTCAAATAACAGCGAGATTCATTTAAATAATAAAGCCAAGGCTTAAGCTCCCAGACTTAAATGCGTGTTTAAGCTGTTTTAACTGAAAGCAACTTGCACTGACATGCATCATGTCATTACCATGTTTTGTCTCAAGATGCACACCAGTAATGTTTTTTTTTCTAAGGCACGTTTATAAAAGCTACTTAAATGTCCTAATTGAACTAAGGCCTAATGCTGGCTTAATCTAAACCCTGTCTGTGAAACCGGACCATAATTTCTTTTCAAGTCTACGTCAAAAACAAAATAGGCCAAAGAGATGTCAGCGGAAAAGGAAAATAATTTCACAGAAAAGCAGACTTTTATGTTTTGATCAAAGATTGCAAAGACTAACATCTATTTTCTTTGGAGCAGCATGGACTGGACCAATGTGAGTTAAAGTTGCAATGAAATGTAAGTAGAGACAGATCAGCAGGAGTGAGGTTTAAGTGAACTTTAAGTCCTTAAAATGTCACTAGAGAGAAGGTCCAGTGTTTTGATTAAACATTACAAGGTCAACACATCTTTAAAAAATGAAACAAGAATAGATTAATTGTTCACAATAAGATGTAGAACAAAAAAAGAGATGGGGTGAATCATTTACTGCTGACTTTAAAAATGTAAAGAGGGTCATTTAATTTCACGTTAGATCAACTTTTCTGAAGTATATTTTGTTGGCCCTGGAGCGTTCATTAGCCCAACTGTTTATTCATGCAAAATAATACAGCAATTTGTTCTTCTAAGCCTTTTAAAATAGTCAACACACCACCAGTCTCATTGGAAAAACATTCCTCCACCTACATTTTTGCTAAATCACTGCAGATTATTCACACAACATTATGAACACATAGCCTATTATTGATTATTAAAAAGGCTTATTTTCATGTGGCGGTTCCTTGCACAATACCATTTTATGGCCTCAAAACATTTTTACGATAGTGCATCATTTGTAACAAATACATTTTGACGTTTGCATCTCATGGCTTTCCTGATGTAGCAGACTCGCTCAGAGACTCACCTGGTACAGCGTTGCACTGGGAAGCGCTCGGGTACGAGTCCAGTGAAACACGAGTTAGAGCTTAAAGACTTGTAGCAGCAGCTAAAATGACATGGTTGCTTCAACAAATGTGACATGTTTGCTTTCGTTAAAACTATCGGGTATGTTTAGGGTTTGATATGTTGCATGAAGCATAAAGAAAATTCCCTCTTTTACTCGCCCACATCAGTCTTCAGACACTTCAGGCTTGTGCTTGTCAAAGAGTTACAACAATAAACACACAGTAAAAGACACAGTAAACATCATGACCAAAATCACAGATGTATATCTTACAGTCTAAATTAAAAGACAGTTGATGTTGCACAGTCTGCTTTGACTTTTACCCAAGATGTCATTGGGGTATTATCATATAATCTGACAATCGCAAAGGACTTGAAACATGCATAGTGTACACCTGGCTTTATCCAATCAGATGTTAGAGTTGTAATTATCCATTGTATAATTGCATATAAATCCTGGAACTTTCTAAAGTGTGCGTTAGTGATTCATGTTCCTCTTTCGTCTGTCCTCAATGTGTCACAGCCTAATAGACCATAACTGGCTCTATTCTGTTATCGT